AATAAAAGATGCATTCGTCAAGGTCTTCTAGAATACAAATAAATAACAAAAGCGAGGTCAAACCACTTTTATGCAATAAAATGAGAACGCAACCATACTAAAGGCTCGGGTATCCCACCTTTCATTAAGCCCAAAATGTTCGCTAGATATGTGGATGACTATTTTGCCATCTGGCAGCATAGTAAATAACGATTCGATCATATGAGATGTGTCCACTCTATTTCGTTTAAGGTGATGAAGGACTGGTAGTAGAATTTTCCCACAACCATGTGAGTAGTAGACAGATGCGAGGTCGAAACTGCAGTCCACCCTGGATGAGAATAATTTTTGGGAATGCAAGGCTTTGTGAAATTCAATGGAAGTGTCAGCTCTACTCATATCATTGTGGGAAAATTGTACTACCAGTCCTTCATTACCTTAAACGAAATAGGGTGAATACCTCTCATATGAATAGAGTTGACGTTTCCATTGCAGTTCATATAACCTTGTCTTACCAAAAGTTGTTCTATTATTAGTCATCAGTCACCATAACCCGAATAGGGTGAAGACATCTCAAATAATTGATATATTGATTGTCTCGAAACTTTGCTTATATACGAAGAATAAGTAATCTAGTCGATTGCTACAGCAAAAATCTCATCAATGAATGTGATACGGAAAAAACGTGGCCTTCCTTGAAATTCGCATCTGCCTTGCGACCCAAGAGCACTCGTGGCAATGTGGCTGAGTGATTAACGTGTCAAGTTCACATGCTGCACTGTCACGATTCGACTCCCGCTGAGAGAATTGATACGACCTAAGTGAGGTCAAGACTGCATTCCACTCTAACAAGGATGAGAACAACTTTTGGGAAAGCTATGTGAAATTCAGCGGAAACGTCAGCTCTACTCATATAATCGTAGAAAATTCTAGTACCGGTCCTTCATCACCTTAAATGAAATAGGACGAATACATGTCATATAACTTATTTACTGGTAATCTCGAAATTCTGCATATAAACGATTAGAGTGCTTCCTAATTTTATTCTAGTCTGAAATAAACATTAAATTCACAATGGATGCTCTGGTTATTGGAGATGGTAAGATAAGCAGATATTATTATACGAAAAAAACATATTATGATTCTTTTCTAAATTTTCTTTCTAATCATACTTACAAGACTAAGTTTGGAATTTATACTTCGATGGTTATTATGAATGTGAGGCTAGTTGAGAGAAGCCATTTGACTGAAGAGTTGAAATACCCGAAACATCTACTCATAGAAACAAATTATCTTTCAGGCTTGATTGATGAGAATTTCTCTTTAAAGATAAATAAGTCATCAGAATGAGACAATGCAATCAAGGATAAACAAACGGACACATTTTTCCACGTCTTAATTTTACCATCATGCCCTCCTTCTAAAAAGATATGCTAAATGTTGAAGAAATATGGGATAAAACAGTATTCACGGAAGCCCCTCCGACCTCCTTTAAAGAAAAAATATGAGCTATTATCAAGGTCCGGCTGTCACAAGATTGTCTTCCTGTGGTCGACCTTTTGTTAATGAGACCTATCGGCCCATCCACCAAAGATTGGCGGAGAATGGGCAAGGGATAAAATGGTCCCAGACGCGATTATGGTACGTCCCCGCTAAGAAGAAGATAAGAGAGGGTATTACAATTAGGATATTACGGAATCATAATAGAAAGTTAGGTAATAACTACAGCGGCTAAACACCATATCCTTTCCTTAATCTTTCAATTAAACTAAGGAAGTTATTACTGAACTTCCTACCACTATTCTTCACATTCAATGTATTTACTAATTTCGATAGCCTATCTTAACTTGCGTTCCATAGCAGGCGTATCATAATCAGCAAACTCTTGCTTTTAAGACCACTATATCTCATGTTCAGTCTCTTCTGACCGTTGGACTCAGCTCCCTTTGCAAGCATTTTTGTGTTCCTCCAATCTTTGCCGAATAGGACGGCATGTCTCATCAAAATAAGGTGTTAGGGCCAGTAGTGCAAATAAACATAGTACACCCACACTCACAGACAGGCATACCGAAATAAAGCACCATGGCTAATATGAAAAAGAACTAATCAAATAATTATCTATTTATATATTTTCGTTTTCTAATTGTGAGCATATACATAACAATTAGGATAGAGCTTAATAGTTCTCTTGACTTAGTGATAACTTGATACTTTTGCAAAACTGAGCTCCAGCTCTGATGATGCCTGTCATATGACGGAAGAAGCTCATCCCGGTTTCACCCGAAACAAAGGAGGATGCTTCCTACACTGCGTTAACCTGAACAACGCATTTTTAAAAAAACGGATATCAGCCGACGTTTATCGGTGAGATCAACCAACAAATCCATTTCTCTCGCACTTTCATACGAAATAAAAATCTCCATAACAACCAGATTTGTGCATAACTAGTCCTTGCTAGAAAAAATGCGATCTAATTTAGCATCCTTCAAGAGTTCTCTATGAGATTACTTGATAACCACTGAGAATGGAAATCATTCTGTTTCATTAATTCAATTTAACACAGGCTCTGTATTCCACTAATGCCATCAGCAGTAAACTAAGAGTTGCTCACCTTGAGGAGCCTAAGGATTACTAATCTGTCATGGTCTCTAGGTTCATGTTTGGAATTTCCAGAGAATACTGAAGGGACCTTAGCGAGGTCTAACTCGCCGAATACGCCAGATCAAAATGCAAATTTTGAATGCTTGAAGTTGCGTGATTCACTGGAGAAAAAAAAACAAATTTTAACTTCAGTTAATTTTCGTTTTCAAGGCTTTTGGGTCTAGTACCAAGAGCGTGCTCTTTCCTCATACTGGTCCCTCTAGCGCATGATTATGTGAGCACAAATCTAAACAAAATCAAAAAAAATTTTGAAACAGTAATAGCTTCAAATAATTCATAAGTCAAAGCAGATTAGAAAAGCTAGCTAGCCAGCTGAGCGACCAAATGAAGGAGCGATTGACAGTGCTTGTGAATATGCGGACTTGAACAAGATTTTTCTAGTATGAATCCTGAGGCTACATTTTCCTATGGCTTTATAGGAATTAATAAAGATCAAAGCCACGAATGATTGGGAAAAATGCTTCATTTTGTATCCGAGCTCACTGCGTCATGCGCCTTTTATAATCAGTCTATTGCTGTCGCAAAATGACAACTGCAATATTTTGGCAAAAAAAGAGATTTATGACAGCCGCAGTAAAAATGAGTTAAAGGGGTAATTAATGGAGCCTCGAGCTTTAGCACTTAGCGTTTTTTTGTCAGCTTTAGATTATGCTTTCTAGTGACCAGGCGATGCTACCTATATCTTAATCACCAAGTTTCTGGTTTCCTCTTATTTTTCCGTGATCACTTCACTAGATCAAGCAACATTGACATTTTGAACGCTTCCATCACGTTTAGCTTTGCTGAGTACAAGTTAATTAAAACTATGCTTAGTCGGTTTTCAGTTAAGCGTTGCTTATGACTGTTCCAGTATAAATGCAAAATGCCACTGATTAGTGATGGTGATAGGATGAGACAGAAAGGTAGAATTAACCCTTTATTTTAACTCGGAAAATAGGGATTTTTGAATAGTTGATTGTACAGCCTAGGTTGTGAAATAAAAAAAGGGTGATCCATGGTGAAGTAAGGTAACAAGAATGTTAAATTACTGAAGAAAGGAAATGAGAAGAAGTATCGTACAATAGATGGAAGGGGGACCCTTTCAAAGTAGCTTTCATCAGTGATTGTAGCTCTTCTACAATGTTGCGTAAATCACAAATTAAAAATAAAAAGAATGAACAGGCTAATGACTACTTGGTAGACTAGATTAACTAGTACAATGAAAGGCCCAAAGGAGCCGTATTTTCGACAAGTGGACAAAATTGAGATCGACATAAAAATGATCGAATGCCTAAAAGAATTGAGGCATAAGCCCAGATCTTAGAGTACAGAAATGTCAGACAATGGGGCGAACGATTAACAACCGTGCAAACCAGAAGGATGCTTGACTGAGAAAACGAAAATATGCAGTAGATCGGATCATATTTTGCTTATAGACTAGTGGCTTTAAGCCGATTTCAATCTCCGAGATAAACTGAGGATCTTCAATATAAATGGTGCTATATGCAGGGTCGGAGGCGGCCCTGCTATGAAATATATATATAAAATCATAAAAACAAGATCCTTTCTGTAAATATGAAATGAACGAGGTAGCTGTTGAACTCTAAGAAGGCTCTTTGGTACAAGGCTACATAACTTCCAGCAATAAATTAGCGTAATGGCCCGATTTATTGAATGCGTAAACTTTACGAGTCATTTAGCGAACTAATATTATTAGTTAAAGTATTCCATAAACTTAAAATTCTTAAAAAATAACAAGGAGAATTTAATCAAATAGTTACCAACTCCTTAACTCTTTGGAAGTCAACGGATGAAATATTTCGGCTATCTTCTGATTAACCTCGCAGTTAAGCCGTTGAATACTGCAAGGAATGTAGGCACCTGCTTCCTCAACATTCATCGGTATAAGAGTAATTTCACAATCAGTCATAAGTCTGCGGCAAAGGTTATGCTTGTCATCATCACTGAGAAGCTTGATGGCTATGAAGATAAATAAATATATATATATCCATCCTACAAGCGGCTAAAATTATAGCCATGGAACCGTACAAGAAAGAAAAGTACACATAAATGGAGACACGGTTGAAAATCACGATTATAAAACAATATTCAAGAAATATTTATGGATGGCTGAATAGTGGCAATATTGCATGCTAGGAAATGAGCCTATTTAGGGAAATTGGGATAAGTTTATTTTAGAGACCTCATGGATAACATACGTCCGAGATAGAAGAGCTATGTATGCAGTCCTTCTTTCTGACTCAATCCGTTTATCTCGTAATAGATGACCTTAGGGCAACCTTTTATATAATGAGTCATCTTTGAGTCATGAAGCATTCCGATAATTTGGCTTTATTTAATGCTCTGTCTAATGCATTTATTTAACCCATTTTATTCTGTGTTGGTCTTCTCCAATCCGCTTCAAGCATAAAAGGCGTGTGCACGATAACTTGGATAATGAAACCCTCGGGTACAGAACAGTCTATTAGACGCAAGCGGTTGGTGAGAGGATGTCCGGCGCAGAACCAGCGCTGGCGAGTAACGGGCGCAGCGACATCAGGAAGACGAGAGGCTAGTCGACGTTTGGCCTCTAGCACTGTCGAGCTCTGAGATAAGGTCTCTATCACTTCCTCACCAGTTGACAGGCGTAAGTGCAGCGCCATTTCATTGTCTTCTTCTGACTCTTTAGGGTCTCCTGGCACTGAATCCACCCCAACTTTTGGGATGCCAGTCCCAGTGCTGGTGGTAGCCGATCGCCAGAGACGAGGGAATCTACCAGAGAGTTTAGAAAGGCGAGGGGCTCGCAAGTGGGCGAATGTGGACTGACGAGTCGTAGGACGTCTCTGCTCTGGACGTGCTGCTAAGGTAGGAGTAACACTAAGAGAAGATGGACCAAAAAAGGATACAGAAGGAGATGAGGAGGAAGCAGAGGGAAATGAAGAGCTAGGCAGACATTGAGAAAATTCGGATTCTCCGGTAGCTGCAACAGATACAGGGATGCCAGTCGGGCGATAAGAGTGAATACGAGAGTGTGGATGTGGGGCCCTGCTCGTATCAACTAATAGGTTGCTTGGTGGTGACAGCACATACAAAGGTAATTGGTAGTGTGCCCCGAGTTGGTCATAGCAATCGCAGAGGTATCCTGTTTGATAGCAAAAAAGATATGTTAAGATGCAATGGTGATGAAGATATCTTATATTTTATCGATAATGAAGATATGAATGGAAGCCCATATGTGCTATGAAAGAAAATTGGTAGAAAGATAATGTAGACAGATATTTGTAGCACTAAATGTACAAAATATATAATAAAATTCAGGCTTGTGATGAGACAAGAAAGCATCCGACTTCTAAGTTTATCTTGAAAAAGGATTAGGGATAACTTAACTACTAACTATAAAGAAAAACTCTCTGAGATTGCATCGAAAGCTCAGAAATTGGTAGCTCACCTGAAGGAACAATGATATCTGCACCATCAATAATCGCCTGAGCTAGGTCATGATCATGCCTCTCCATTGCCTCGGCTGCAGCCTTAAGAGCATCCCAGATTTCCTTACGTCCATCGAAAGCTGGCGCAGTATCCCAGAATTCATTTCTTTTTCGAAGTAGCTGATTAACCGTTATTGGGACTTGACTGCGCCACTTAATTCGATCCTTCTTTAGATAATAACGTTTTGAACGGGTATCTATAGTTAATATAGCAAAATGGTCTCAATTAGTCAACAGTCAAAACGATATGAAATAATGGATAAATCAAGTTGTCAATAAAAGCATAAAAAATATTTTATCATGATTAAAAGCCAGAAAGCAAAAACTGTTTTAAATTAGGAAGTGAGCTATACGTGCTACCACTTATGGAGTTTCGAATTATATTGTTAACAAATCAGATAAGTATGGAAAGACGTCGCCGCATAAGGTAATAGTCATAAT